AAAAAAAAAAAAAAAAGAGTACACCATCTGAATTTTTAATCACAAATTCAAGTAGTTGGAAAGGATGTCATTGCCCAAGTATTAAAATTTTGGTATTTTAAATTAATAAATCATCCAAAAGTTACTGTAAGACACCTTTCCTTTGTCAGAAATTAAATCCCTTTTTCTACTTGAACTGTTATTTGTGTTCCATTTCCCTAATATGTATGAAAGGTTTTTATTGACTGTCCTGTTCTTCTCTGCAATAAAAATATGCATATAAATTGATAATATTTTAAATTTTTCTTAAAACCATAGACCTCTGAACCTTAGAATTTTTTATTTTTTGGTACCGGGAATCGAACTTGGGTCCTTGCGCCTGCGCAGCAGGCGACGAAACCACTGAGATAAATCCCCGGCCCTAGAATTTTTTCTTCCAGTTGAGCTGTGGCTATTATTAGTTTATATACATCAGTAGATAAATACACTTGTAACTTCAATGAGGGTAAGATTGAGAACAGATTCTATTTTTATTTTTCATTTCAATGATACAAGTACTAAGAAATCTTACATGAATAAGTAGATGGGAATGGAAGTTTTGTTAGGAGAATGTCATTTCATTCCTTGAATTTCTTCCCCATTGCAAACTAAACATCACACAATGGTCTTTCATTCAAAGTTGTTCGTAGCCAGATTTAGTGGCACATGCCTGTAGTCCCAGCTGCTTGGGAGACAGAGACAGGAGGATTGTGATTTCAAGGCCAGCCTAGCCAACTAACTTACAGAGACTGTGTGAGCAGAAAAAGTGATTTGTAAAAATTATTTAGGTCAGGTCGGGGATGTAGCTCAGTGGCACCGTGCCTGCCTGGCAAGTGCCGGGTCCTGAGTTCGGTCCCTGGTTCCGCAAAAAAAAAAAAAATTATTTAGGTCGGTAGTTCTATCTTTTCTTTGATTTTTGCTAAAGGAATTGGAAGCCACCTGGCTTGGGAATTATCTGATCATTTCAGTTCTTCACGTGCTCAGCGCTGCATGATCATTTCCTGTTGTGTGCATTAGTTCCAGCTGGAGGTTTGCACTCTAGACTAGCACCCTCTGGGAGATGCAGGTGGGCCAGGCCAGGCCTTGGGGTTTGATAGGGAGAGGGTGGGTGAGGCAGCCACAGGCCCCTCTCTGAGGGGTGAATGTGGGACCTGGTTGCCTTGCACACCCCTTGGAAAGGCCTCATTTACTGTCACAGTCATTCACATTCTAGTTTAAGGGCTGCTCTGGGGAAACGGTATCCATGGGAGCCTTTTGGGTTATAGTGACCACCGAGAAGGTAAGGAATGGTGATAGAAAAAAGCAGGGGCCGTATGAAGGTCTAAAGCAGTTTGGGACCAGGTAGGGCTCCCCAGACCCTGGGACACAGTATCCAGCTGCCCATGGCACAGGCCACCTTGCAGCAAATCCAGGAGGCCGCAAGATGTGGCTTGAGAAAGGAGGATGACTCGTGCTGGGTGCTCCCGAGAGACCCAGTGAGATGTTGAAAACCCAGGGCAGGGCAGGGGACACTCCTATATTGAGGCGGGGATGGCAGCATAGATGGAGTAGGCTCAGAGATAGTAGGGCAGGAAGTCCCATGCAGGAGAACAGAGATGTGAGGCAGTCTCCGGAGGGAGGACAGGGTGTGATAGGAGAGTGTTAGGAAGGCACCTATGTATATAGTGGGAACGGTGATTCAAGAGAAGGGGAGACTGGGTCGGTGGGGAGTCATTGCACGGTTGGTGACCTCATCGGGGACTGGAGAGGACGGAAGTGACATGCAGGCCCAGGTGGGTAGGGGCAAAGTGAACAGGGGGACGGGAGGCCCTCGTGCCCCAGGAAGTGCGCAGCAAGGGCACCATGGTGGGGAGGAAGGTGAGAGCGAGAGAGAAAGACGTAAGACTGGGGAGCACTTGGGTGTACGCAGAGCGTAGGGGCCATTCTGGTGCTGTGCTGTGGCCACTGAGGGCAGGGAGCAGAGGCCAGAGGGGTTCTGACTTGTGCTCCTTGTGTTGCAGGTGAGCGTGGCGCTGGGCTGTGCCATGCGTGGCCGAACCGTTGCTTTTGCCAGCATCTTTGCCGTCTGTTTGAGCCGGGCGTTTGATCAGATCCGTGTATGCGCCATCTGTGAGACCAACATCTGCCTCGTCGGCTCCCACTGCGGGGTGTCCGTGGGTATGAGTCGGGAGTGCGTCATCGTGGGGGCTGATTAATGTCCCAGCCGTTGCAGGGGGGTTGCGTTGTTATAGCTCTCAGGGTCCCCTCTCAAGTGGGACTGCTCGGAATGTCTTTGTAGAAAGCCATGTCCTGTTTGAACTGCTTAAGATGCTCTGGGTACCCCTTGCATCTCTTGAGTTGTGTAAACGTGGCCACTCGACTCATTGAGACATGGTTGCCCTGAGCCCCATGCGCTGGATATGAATGGGGACAACACAGAGCCCCAGCATCCATTTCCGCCCTCTACGTGGTGGCAATCTGACTGGGATTAGCAGCCCAGGCAGAGGGAAGGGAGGGGCATTGTGGGGCCCCTGGAGGAAGATGATGCAGGGAAGCAGGCTGGGGGACACATGGTCCCAGGAGCAGTGACATGCTAGGAAGGGCTGGGAGAGGACAAAGGAAGACACAAGAGTGGACCAGAAGGAGCATGGAGGAGGAGGAGGAAGTACAGCTAGCAGATGGAGGGTTCAGAGCTCTGTGCCAAGCAAGTCTCTGGGGCAGCTCACTGGGGAGAGTGGAGGGAGTCCCGTGGAAAGGTGAGTCAGCTGGCGTGCTTGTTTGGGACAGGTCACCTCGGTAGATGTGGTGGCTGGCACTTGCTGCTAGAATGCTGGGGGTGCCGTCTACCTGGCACTAGACGACAGGGTTCTAGGTAGAGCTGGAGTCACGGCTGGATGAGTGATGCAGAAGGCACAGGGAGACATCCAGGGAGCCCGGGCAGATCAGAGGGCCAGGGCACCTGAGGCACAGCCGCATCTCAGGGTGGGTAGGCAAGCGGGCAAGGATCCTTGGTATCAGCTATAGGGAGCGGTGACCGTAGGTGGAGGAGAGACAGTGTGTACAGTGACAGCCCTTCCAGCTGTGCACTGTGTACTTCCTCCTTCCATAGTGCTATGGCTGGAAACGTCTCTCAACCCACATCAAGGGCCCCTTAGTCAAAACAGCAACCCCTCAGGTGTCCCAAAGCTGCATGATGCTCAGCTACCAGGACATCCGGGAAAGTGAGTCAGCTATGTCAACCTGAAAATGCCCCGTATGTCACCAGGCACTGTGACATGTGCCTGTGACCCCAGCTACTCTGGAGGCTGAGGCAGGAGGGTTGCAAGTTCAAGGCCATCCTGGGCAACTTAGCAAGACCCTGTCTCAAGATTAAAAATAAAGGGCTAGGAACCATTTTAACAAGCTTTACATATGTTCTTTATGTTATTTGTTGTTAGTGTGGTTCTCAGAAGGCAAACAAAGCACAATACAAAGTCAGATATGAGGGAATTCTCTTTGTTCCACAAAAGTATTTACCAAATGGAATTTGATCGCTATATTGTTTTCTAATATATGTCTTTTAACATTGCCTATCACAGATTAAAATTTATAGGGAAGAAAACAAAAGGCTAGGGATGCAGCTCAATAGTAGAGCACCCCTGGGTTCCATACCCAGTACACCAAAGATAAGGAAAAAAGTGTCTTGAGGGAGAGGGGTAGAGGAGCAGGGAGGGAAGGACAGAGGGGACCTTCCTGTGAAGAGGACAAGGTCAGAGACCTGGTGGGGCAGGAGAGGCAGAAGTCAGTGAGAAGTGCGCTCAGACAGAGAGGCTAGGCTATAAAGGTCTGACCCAGAGTATCTCCTCAAGCTGCCAGGGACACAGGTGCAGGAAAGTTCGAGAAACATGATGGATTGTGACATCACACGGGACCTTTTCTAGGGCTCTGCCACAGCACAGTTCATGGTACCCTGGGGCAACAATATTTGAGCTTCCTCAGAGACCCGGGTGGGGGTGGGGGTGGGGCGTTCCAGGGCTGCACACTCACCTTTTGATTTGCCTGTGGCTGTCTCAGGTGAAGACAGCCCCACCCAGACGGCCCTGGAGGACCTGGCCATGTTCCGAGCACTCCCCAACTGCACCGTTTTCTACCCCAGTGACGCTGTGTCCATGGAGCATGCTGTTTATCTGGCCGCCAATTCCAAGGTACGTGTAGGGGACGCTGGCTTAGACGCAGACTGCTTCTCGGCTCTGCTACAAGTTTGTGGCTGACTGGATGTCCCCCCATTTTTAGCATCAATGTTACATGCATTGTAGAAGCCCAATGAGGGCCAGGATTTAGCTCAGTGGTTCCACCACCTCCCTCGAAAGCGCAAGGTCCCGAGAGTTCGATCCCCGGTACCAAAAAAAAAAAAAAAATCCTCAACAAGAAACCCAATGATAGGATTATTGGTTTTGTTTTTGTTTTCTGGTACCAGGGATCAAGCTACATCCGCAGCCCTTTTTGAGGCAGAGTCTAAGTTGCCCAGGGAGGTCTCCAATTTGTGATCTTCCTGCCTCAGCTTCCCAGAGTGCTAGGATTTCGGACAAGTGTCAGGATTCTGAAAAGAACAAGAACATAGCCTTTACAGACAGGTGGTGAAAGTCATGTGGTGCAAAGGGTGCCGAACTAGGCCTGGGCCCCTCAGGCAGGGGTCAGGCCAAGACAGAGTGCCCTGGATGTCTCCACAGGAAGAGGTGTAACAGGCCACCTGTGGGTAAAGTAGAGGCCAGTGGAGCTGCCATCTCGGAGCCCACCGTGGCGCCTGTGAAACTTAGACACACCCTTGCCCCGCTACTCGGGAGGCTGTGGTGGGTGCACTGCTTGGGCCCAGGAGTTGCAACATAGTGAGATCCTGTCCCCCCAAAAGAGAAAACGGCACCCCGATTACTGAAGCCAGGGGTAGGCAAGCCACCGCCACTGCAGCCACACCTCCTAAATCCCAGCAGTGTGAGAGTGGGTGACAGGGAGTGCACCACACAAACCCCCGCTGCCCGAAACAGCTCAGAGTTCAGAGGGATGAGGGCGTTGTCCTCGCTGGGCCTGGGCCTGGGCCAGCCCACACAGCAGGAGAGCCTAGCGAGCAGCCAGTGCCTCTGCCTTCCCGGCCTGTGCCACTGGGCTCTGCGTGCCTCTGAGCCTTTCCTCGGTGACCCCCTGCCGCGCACCGTCTGTGCCCGCCTTTGACTTCCTAGGCATGACTCTGGTGGAGTGTGTGGTGCTGCGATGGAGCCACACCTGGCCCTACCTGTTACATCCCTGTCTTCCTGGCCTCGAAGGGTCAAGACTGTGATAGACCTCAGGGTAGAGGCTGCTTCCTAGGGTGTGGAAGGAGGACTGGAAGAGGCAGACAGGGAAATGGGGAGCCAGTGGGCATCCCGTCGGAACCTGGGCAGGATACGTGGCACGCATCCTCACCAGGACTTGGCTGCAACACGTAGCAGGGGTGCATTTTCCAGCCACTTCCTCTCATGGGAGTGGCAAAGACAGTTCTTTGATTGACACTTTAGTTTCTAATGCGTCCTCATGTTGCTTGTGTTGGCTGCTGCTATGTATGTACGCATACAAGTTGGTGGTGATTGCAAACGGGTCCCTTCGTGTCCGGGGGAGTAATCAGTTTCAAAGGAGAAAGCATGATACACTATCTTGGGGTGAAAATTACTTTCTCACGTTGCATTTTGGACGTCATCGTCGTCCATGTGGGTCAGCGCCCCTTCCCTGCATTGATGCTCTGTGGAGACAGAGCCAACAGTGTGGGAAGCCGGTTCACCAAGGGCAACTGCCCGGTTCCAGCTTAGGCTTTTGCCTGTGTAGCCTGCTAGGCTTTGCTCTTATTATCTGTCTTTTTTGTTTGTTTGTTTTTTGTACCGGGGATCGAACTCGGGACCTTGTGCTTGCGAGGCAGGCAGCGGCACCACTGAGCTGAATCCCCGCCCCGGCTTGGCTCAGTACATAGGCTTCCTCTCCCCCACACGCTGATGCTTTATTAGTTGGAAGTTCACACTCTGCTTTTTTCTAAAGACTGGTTCTGATTTGCATTTCGGCCCTAGGAAATATGCTACATTCGGACCAGCCATCCGGAAACTGAAGTTATTTATGGCCCTAAAGAGCTCTTTAAGATCGGACAGGCTAAGGTAGGGGCCACAGTGCACCACTGCTGATAGCATTTGTTCTAAATCTCATGCTAGGCACCCCCACAGTTGACACATCGTTCTTTCTTTGCTCTTGCTTAAAAAAAAAAAAAAAATCGTAGGGCCGGGGATTTAGCTCAGTGGTGCCGCCGCCTGCCTCACAAGCGCAGGGTCCTGAGTTCGATCCCTGGTACCAAAAAGAAAAAAACAAATTATGACCTTTGCCTGCTTTTCCTCAAGATGGAATATTCCAGTAATTTCAGCTTGATGTACACTTTTCTCCTTTCCAAATGGAGTCGCCTTTAGAACTGTTTGAGACAGGGTTTCACTAAGTTGCAGGCTGGCTGGCCTCTAACATGCGACCCTCCTGCATTAAGCCTGTCCCTTGTAGCTGGGACTACAGGTGTGGACCATCAAGCCTGGCTTTTGTTGAGCTCTCACTGTAATAATAATGTGAAGACCCTGGCGCGTCTTGGCTGTAATTGGTCCCCACCTCAAGGTAAACAAAATAATAGAAAGCGGTCCAAGACAAGAACGGGTCCATTGGGTCAAGAATTTGCAGACCCGAGGCCGGTGGAAAAGAACATGCGGCATTGTGCCCATGGAGGCTCAGTGCCCTGAGCCTGCCTTTGCACGTGGGGGTGTAGCCTCGCCCGCATGCCTGCTGAGAAGACTGGCGCCCAGCCTTGAGCACCAAGACCAGGATCCTGGCCACCCCATCCTCTCTTCCTGTGTCTCCCTGGGCAGCCGTGCATGGGGCAGCCAGACAAGCCCGTGGAAAAGGTTTGTGACGCTGCTCACCACCCAGACAGCCAGGCTGCGGACAGTCGGTCAGGTTTCTCTCCTGTCTTTGCCTTGGTGTAGACAAGTGTTGTGCCCTGCTTTTATAGCACCTTCCACGCAGTTTAACGTGCCCTTGGTACTCTGCTTAACCGTGTGACATGCTTACTGCAGTGCATTGTTGAACGATCTGCAGGTAACATCCACCTTGCTCCTGAAGGGCTGGGCTGCGGCAGAGTCACAGCTCTGTACTCAGGACAGCTGTGTCTGGGCTGCGAGTGGCTGCTGCTGGCAACACTGCTGAAGAGAGCGGTGGAGAGCTCCCCTCTGTGTGAAGTCTGGGCTCTTTGTGCTCTGTGCCCCTGCCTAAACCCAAAGCCGCACCTCGGAGGGGGCATCTGTCTCTCAGTTGCATGGTTTGCACAGCTTTTTCCATCTCTCTGGTCTTTTTTGCAATACTTAGGCTTGAATCCAGGGCCTTTGCACTGAGCTACATCCCCAGCCCTTTTTATTTTTTAGTTTGGGACAGGGTCTCAGTTGCCCCAGCTGGAATTACAGGTGTGCACCGCCATGCCCAGCTTTTTTTCCTCAAACTTTTTGGTCCCGGAAAAAGAAAGAAAATTCCCATTGGTAAAGAACATGAGTTCTTTAAAGTGTAAAGGGCTGAGTTTGGCAGAGGGGACATAGGTGTGTGTGTCAGTGCATGTGTGTGTGCATCCACACACACAGATTTTGCGACACTTGGGACTGGAAGCCAGGCCTTGTGCATGCTGGACCATTAGAGGGTCATCATTTTTTTGGAGGGGTAGGACTGGGCCTCACTGTGTAGTTCAGGCTGGTCTCGAACCCGAGGTGATCACTCTGCCTCAGCCTCCCACATGCTGGAATTACAGGCATGTGCCATCACAGCTGGCTAGAGGTCATCTTGTCTTACATAAGAACTTGATAATTTTGCACTGTAAATCATGAGGAGAGGTAGATGAGTGTGTAAAACAAATATAAAACGAGGCTTAGCAAAAAGACAGTGTCCTGACTTTTCAAACAAAGTGTCTTAGCTGCCTTTTATTTATTTATTTTTGGGGGGTACCGGGGATCGAACTCGGGACCTTGTGCTTGCGAGGCAGGCACCGGAACCACTGAGCTAAATCCCCAGTCCTCTTAGCTACCTTTTAACGAGTGGACTATGAGGGATGAGACTGCTGGTGTTGGGGAGTAGCATGCAGCAGAGCGCCCTCCATTTTGACACGGAACCACAGGGCTGGAGGTTTAGCTCTGTGGCACTGTACCTGCCTAGCAAGCACAGGGTCCTGAGTTCATTTCCTGGTGCCAGAAAAAAAAAAA